CACATTCTTCAAATGCATTATATCACCATTGAAATCATAGAGAAAACTACCACTATACTCTCCAATGTCAAGAGTCTCAAGGCTTTGAATGTGTTCAATTACATTTTGGAAGAATTTCGCATCAATAATATGTTGCCGCACCAATTTGCTGCGAAATACTTTCAATTGTGGATTCAACTGGAGCATTGCTTTCAAGTTCTCAATTCCTTCCTCACGATTATCCATATCACCACGTATTTCAATCTCTATTTGTTCCAAGTGTTGAAAATGATGCGTCAATATCTCGAATTCACGAGATTTAGCTCCATCGAATCCAATCATCAAGTGTTTGATCTGTGGAAAACGGCTCTTAAGCCAATCCTCTTCAACATCCAAACAACAGAATGTAATTGCAACTCTTTCGACTCGAACGAATGGTTTGATGAACGCATTTAAACAACCCATTCGAAGACAGCAAATTTCCATTTTGGTTAATGACTCATTGCAATATTCGTTGATATAACTTAAAACATGGCTATTATAATCATTTTCTACATACACCACTGCTATACTGATAAAACGGCCAAAACAGCGCACAAGCTGAAGACATGTCTTCAAATCTTTAATTAATATGCCAGTCTCTCCAATTATGAACAATCGGGTTCGTGAGATTCGATCAACTAGGGCTATCACACCTTTCTTCTTATGTTCTTGAATATAAACCAAACCGGCAGCCGCATTGAGTCGCTTATTTGACGATGCTACATTCAACAGATCACCGAATTCCAAATATTCCAAAATACTTTCGAGACAGTCCAAATTGAGGTCGGTTAGTTTCATCTTTTCACTTGATGGTCTCTGTGGTTCCTGCTAAAAATGAGGAATTGAAATGAAATTTAATGTTTTTATATGGTTTTCAAATATTTTCGGATCATTTTACTTGAAAAATAAATATCTGTTATATAAAGTACCTACTTGGGGGGTCTATACCAATTCAAAATGCACTGTTACCGTTTGTAATTATCAAAAGTTAGAGTTTTATCATTGGAAAAGTTTCATCAAACCTGTATTGCTACTTTTTTGCTTTTGAAATCCGTTTTTTGACTCAAACAAGCTACAACGTCAACAGCCTGAAACCAACTGATCTTATTCGTAAGGTACGTTTCGGATAAATTGCTTATGTGTATGGATTTGTGTCATTAGTCAATGTCCTTTGGACTTCGAAACAATGTGATTTCACGAACACAAACAAACGTGATAACAGACTGGGATGTGTTAAAAAAGCAATTAGGGATCCTAATGAGCGACACCAGGCCGCGCTAGCGTCCTATCTAAATACATTATAATGAATAAGTACAAACTAATACATATGCATTTCTACTATGAATACGTTTCATGCTATGTGTTTTAATTTCATTTAATTTTGGAAATTGAAAAAAAAACTTCTCGACAAAATATATTTTAAAACATCATTGCAATAAAAAAAAACTTCCAAGTAAGAATGAATATATTGATATTGAGTAAGAAAATTCGGTGAAATCGGTGAAATACTTGAATCAAACATAAACGTTTGAAAAACGTACGACGCGCGCCAAAGCATAAGTGATGTCAAAGTGTGTACAAAGAGTGAAGCAATAGTGCGTTTAATGCTATGTGCTATAGTGTCTCTGTTGATGTTGATCGCTGACGTTTATAGTGGTAGAGCGACACATGACTGAGAGTTCTACTTGAACGAACAAATCATCCGGTTGAATCAGTCGTAATTGTGTGTTCAAGTTGAAAGCATCTCAAATTCAGTGGTTTAGTATACTCAGCAGCCATGTTACTGTTTTTATCGTTTCTCATTCTCAAGTATGTCGCCGCAAAAATCAATGCGAAGAAACAAATTTGGCAAAACGAAATTGAGAGTGATTTCGACAATTTCAAGTTAGCAGCCACAAAGGACGATTTCATAGCGAACGCCGTTAAAAGTTTGTATTCGGATGCGACGAAGATGAGTATTGTATTCAACAAACTACTGCGTGCTACAACCATTGCGGAATTCATTGACGTATCGGAGAAACATCACATACCAATTCAACATTTGCTCTACGAACGGAACTACGTACCAGCCCAGGACTCACCAAAGCACATTCTAAATTCGCTAAACGATGATTGCATCCAAGAAATTCTACGCAAATTGACCGATCCAGAAGATTTTTTAAGCGCAGCCGAAACATGCCATCGCTTCCAAGTGAATGCAAAACAATGCTATCCATCAAAATTCAAACGGTTATCTTTGTCGGTTGGAAATAAATCGATCGGCAATTTCACTGGATTGCCTTTGGAGCGCGCATCGAATTTTCTACAAATATTCGGACATTTCCTTTCGGACCTGCAATTAATTGATGACCTTGACCATGGTACATTGAATATGATCGCTGAGAACTGTGGCCAAACATTATTTTCTATGGAAATTAACGGCAACCAAAATACCGCTGCAAATTTTAATGCGTTGTCAAAGTTCAAAGCATTAGATTCTATTCAAATTACTTCAGTTTCAATTAACAATATTGAACTACCGCAAAATTTAAACGCTTTCAGTCTCTTTAATATTATTAAAGATCCAGACGATTTCCATTTTCTCATGAAAAAATTCCCAAACTTGAAATTTACCGTTTTTCACAACGTTGATAGCCTTAAAAGTCCCGTTTTTGATGCATTTATCGCGCTAAATCCACAAATCGATTATTTACATATTGTTGGCTGCCCAAATATAATACCTTCAACTTTAAATAATATCAGCGATCGTCTGCCAAGCCTTACAGGCTTGACTGTTGAATGCATCAAAACCATGACCATCCCAGAGTACACTGAATTCGTAACGCATTTGAGCCAATTACGACAGTTGAAACATCTAACTGTAATATTGCATTTTGATTTTTCATATCCAGCAAATATTCTCATCGATTCGCTTGTTGCGAATATACCCACTATAGAGATGATGTTTATTGCTGGTTTTCATCATGATTTTGAAGAAACTCTTCCCGGATTACTTGAATTGAAGCAGCTTAAGCGATTGAATTTCACATGTTCTGACGGTAACCATTTTACTACTGATATGATCGTTGAATTAATCAAAGGACTACCAGCTTTGAAAGAGATAAGATTCAACTGCAATGCAATCAGCGTAACAGAAATAACGAACATTCTTAAACACAGCAATGATTTGACTGGGCTCGAAATACGCATTCGTGACATGGACATCGATTTATCTGCTTATAATTCAATTTTGGCATTGATTAAAGATCATCTTGAAGTTACACTTGACATAGGAAATGGAAATATCGATGAAAATATTTTGAAACAAAACGGGCAACGATTGAAAATAGTCCGGAAATCGCTTTAGCCTGAATTCAGAAGAATTGTGAAAATTTTGTTCATTTGGAAAATATGGAGGAAACAAGCATGCATGAAACATAAATGGAAAGAAATTTATTCAATTCAAAAGTCTATATTTATTATGTATTTTAACAATTTTCAAAACGTAGACAAGCTATTCATCAATGACACTAAACACATTGCTTTGGTTCATCTTGATACCAATACAAATGTTAGCAATAGTTCAATCAAAAAATGGAAAAAGACAATTATCTTTGAAATTCCAAACAATTGTATTATTAACGCCAAATCAGATAAAATACAATAAAAAAATTAGATTGAGAACAAAAATAGCTTGACTCAAAGCTTAGACAAGACATCATTTTTGAACAATTTTACTAGAAAACAACCTCGAAAAAAGAAAACAATAATTATTTGCTTAACAAATGAAACAATTTATATAAGAATCATAAAAAAACCAACAATCCGTACAACAAGAGATGTTAACCCAATGAGGAAAACGTTACAGTTGTACACATTTTGTGCACGGCCAATGTAATTTCTCCATAAGCTGTGCACAAAATGTGTACAACTGTAACGTTTTCCTCATTGGGAATACGGGGAATTGATAAAGTTGGTCAAAGTAGATTAGTGCGAAATGTCTCTTTTTATCATTTTTTATCCTTCGATTCATCGAAAAGTGTACAAATGTTTTGCAAAATGTCAAGAAATGCCCAAAAAATTATTTATCAAATCACATAAGTCTAGATAAAATGTAAGAACAATCCGAAAAAAATCGAAATAATGTGAAAAAATGCAATAAATATAAGAAATGTTATAAAAAAATTAGCATGTTCATAACAGTTATTATCAGAAATAAATTAAATCGTTCTGAAATTTAGAATCTAATCTCGTATTTTGACCTCTTCTGATTTGATTGTTGTGATTTCGTTTGAATTCATTGTGTGACAAAATATCACTGACAACAAATGTTTGGTCAAATGCTTCACTAATGATACTATATTGGCTGGTCTTTTATACAGACAGGAGAGAAATGACTGAATGGTTAAACTCAAGAGAAATTACTTAATAGTAAACAACGTTTCACATCAAGCAGAATTACTTCAATTGTTCAATCAACTCAGTCTCACTTTTTTTGCATAAGAAAAAACAAGAAAGGAAGGAATTGAGAAAAACAGAGAAAGATAGTAAGAGTCTCTCTCTCAGAGAGAGAAAAAAGAAAAGAAAAATGGAAAAATTGCGAACAAACGAAGAAAAAAGTGAACCAAAATCGAAAAAATAAACAAATGTCTACGAAAAGCAAAACAAAAACCCTGATCGAAAGTCATTTTGGCGCTTAAATCACTGAATTGTTGCCAACAGTTTAAAAAAAAGGCGATTTGAAATGTTGACATATTCACCACGGTCTATCGCGCTATACCATGTGATGGTGAAAATGGCGAATTGGGCGAAATGATTGTTGTACGATGGTCGACCGTAGCGCCTCCGTCGCTAGATAATTGGTCTTGACATTACTGAACGTATAAGCAGTCGGTATTTTTTTATTCGGTGTGTTAAACCGTATTTTGTTGTGTATTATTTTGCTCGTGTTTCCCATCGGTACAGTTAACGAGAAACAAATCGCAGTTATTCGATAATTTAAGTGGAATTGCAAGGTAATTAGTGCGAAAACGGTTAATTTGCTGTTGAATTTTTCTTCATCGACGGTCATTTGTTTGAGTGCGAAATGTTTGTGTGAATGTGTGCGGTGAATGTGAACTGAATTGAAGCGAAAGAGAAGGAGAGAGAGCGAGAGAAGGTTCGGTTTTTTTTGGGGCGAGTATATTGATACATCGTATAGAGAATTATCAATGTCGCTGCTATTAATGAGCGCCATGCATTTTACGAAAGCGTGCGTGTGTCACACAGGCATCTCATGAGTTCATGTATATGCTAGTATGAGTATGTGGTATGAGCGTGATGACGCTGCAATTGTATGCGTTTTTTCTTTCTCATATAGCGTCATTGCCAATTCAGACATTGCATATGTATTGTTGTTGTTGTAGTAATCGAGTTTCTTTTTTGCGCTCACTCTCTCATCGTTCGCTTTACCACCAATTTTCATTCTTCGGCATTCAAATGAAAAAGTGATGTGGCCGGTGAATGACCTATTTTAATCATATGCAACTATATAGCTAATGCAAACCAAATTGTAATTAAGAACAATTTTCGTAATATTTTTTTGGCGCATATTCTCTTTTTTTTCATTGAGTTGTTTATTTTCAGCCTCGCCGTCACTATTTATGCGACATATTTTTTTTTGTATTGTTGTTTGTGTGTAAACGCGGAAAGGGAAACTCGAGAGAAGCAAATCAAAACGGCGAAAAACTAACAAACGCGATAAAATTGAACTGAAATAAAACAAAAAAACTAGCAAGAAATTACTTCGACATTGAAATCAAAACGACGACCGATTTTTTGAGGTTATGATTCCTCCAAACTTGTTTCAATCCATTTGTAACAATCGATCATAGAATTGAATAACAACGCGCTACATTTTTTTTTTCTCGCAATTTTTAACAAATTTGTGCGTGTATGACACCATTCATTTTCACGTAGTGAATTTTTCGATTCATTTTAAGTCAAAATAATCTCTTTTTCAAATGAAATTGAGATATGTTCCGAGTTGAGTTTCAACAATTGAAATTTCCAACCGAAATGAGAGTATCACAGAATTGAAAAATGATTTGTGCTTGGATTTCTTACAGATAATGGCAGAATCTGATGATGAATACGATCGCAAACGGCGTGATAAATTCCGCGGTGAACGAAGCTCCGGCGACAATTACCGATCGGACCGACGTGACGATCGCCGTGGCAGAGATGATTGGACAGATAGGTAAGCATCACTTCTTTTGGAGCATTTTTTCATGGTGGTTGCCAATTTTCGCTTTTAGTTCAGCCGAGTTATTGGCGGTGTTAAATAAATGAATTTTCTAAAATGTTTGTGTTTTTTGCAGACGCCGTCCTGATTATCGCGAATATCGACCACGCGATAGATTTTCTCCAGACCGAGGTGGACCACCGATGAAACGAATGCGCAACGATTGGCCCGGCGACGATCGACGCTATCATGGTAAGTGCTTGCTTTTGACCTAGATTCATGCGGTTTGTATTCCACATTTTGTTGAAACAATTAATTTTTGACTCAATCGCATTTTTAAGGCTTACTTTGGTTTAGTTGCCACTTTTTCGAGTGAAAATACGGTGTTAATAGTTATGAATGATGAATTTTCAAAAGAATGACAAGATTTCAAACTTTGATAAACCACAATAGTAGCTCCAATTTCATAATCTTTAATCGAATTTTGAAATCTGAATTTATTTAGAAAAAGAATTTATTTTAACATCAGAATTAATTCCACTGAACAGAGCTGGTTTGTGACCAAGGTGCAATCGCTCACATCAATTTCAAAAACATAAAAAGATATTCTTTTAAAAAAAGGTTTACTTCAAAATAAAAAATGATTTTTTCCATTAAATAGAAACCATAAAAAGGAAAAAAAATCATTGTCCAAATTGACCATATCACTAAACCCAAAAAAATTCACTTTCCAATGGCACTAACATGTGTTTCGTTCTAAAAACTTAGGTCACGATGGTTTTGGCGGCGGCGGTGGTTATGGTGGATGGATGCACGAGCCGGGCTATCCACCACATGGACAGCAATTCGGTGGTAATTTTGGCAACACACCTCCATCGGGTGGCATTCATGGACGGTAAATATTCTGTTGATCGTTGGTTTGCCAACAAAATTGTAACTTTATTGGATATCGTCCAAAATATAAAATCGACTCACTTTCTTTTTTGTCAAAGACAGTCACTTGAACATTCGTTCAAAGGCTCTCCCAATGCACAGAGAGCAATGTACAATGCACTACAGTGACTTTGAGTCTATGGACTCAAGCCGGCTTTGATACAAAGTATTCTACAAATGTGAACAAAGCATGAAAAAAACGACCCAACAAATATTTCAATGACAATAATTTTTCATCCGAAATGTAGATTGGGCGGTGGAGGCGGAGGCGGAGGCGGTGGCGGTGGTGGTGGTGGTGATCCATTACCAAATCCTGATATGCAAACGCAACCGGCTATGTTGACGCTAAAGCAATTTTTGGCCACCCAAGATGACTCCATTTCCGATTCGGATGCCATCGAAAAGTATAACGAATACAAAGTGGAGTTCAAGCGTCAGCAACTCAATGAATTTTTCGTTGCACACAAAGATGAAGAATGGTAAGAATGAATCTCCTTCTCACTTGAATTGTTGTATTTAAAGCGAACAGCCCGACCGAAAAGAAAAAGTAGCAAGTCAACAATTTGGGTTAAGTCACGAGGTGTTGTGGCCAAGCATATCTTCTCAAACCTGTGACATTGACGGCGTGGAATGAGTGCTGTGATGATTTCATTTCCTTTCAAACTATTTTTTTTTTTCGAACAAGGATGAGTGTTGAACGTTCTTCTTGAACGGATGAGTGAATGCTAGACGAATACAAGGAGACAACAACAAAAAGTCATGAGTGAATGGTTTGAATGGTTGCTATGATGTGTTTTTCGGTTTGAAAAAAGTCTTTTTTTTTCGTTTGTCGTTGTTGTTTCCACGGTTGTTTTGTGATTTCTGACAAAAAAAAAAATTCCGCAGCAGAAACGGCAAAAAATCCATCCATGTTCCATCTGTCATCTCATTGCTTATGATTAAATGAATTTTCTCTACAGCATGAATATTCCATTGAACAGAACGAAAAAATTATGCCATGTAAAATCGATTTAATAAGCAAATGACCCGGATTTTGAGAAGAAAATAATGATGACAAAAAAGTCGCGCGTTCATTCATGAATGTTCAGTCATAAAAAGAAAAACGAGAGCAGAAAGAGAATGTTTCAGGAATGGTATGATCAATATTTGTTATTAGTTGAAAGTCTCTTGAAGAGACTCTCTTCAACTTGTGTCGCTTCCTCTCTCTCACACTCTTCTTCTTCAAAGAGAGAGAGAGAGAGAGAGAGAAAATGTTCAAATGTTCTAGCAATCAGCGCATAGTGTAAATGAACCTTCCCAACGTTTGAATGTTTATGAACAGCCAAATATGCACAATTGATCAGCAAAAAACATGCAACCAACACACAGCAACAGCTACCAACAACAATCAAAAATGTACTATGATTTATAATCAATTAAACCTTTTTTTCCCCAATCATCATGAACAGGAACTATGCAAACAAGCAAGCAATTCGTTTTCGATTTGGCGAGCAATGCCAAATAAATACAGTTTATCTATTGATTTATATTATTATCAAACAAATACTACTCGCAAATGAATATGATACCACACAAAAACACAAACACAGAAAAAGTTATGCCAATTTTATATACGAAATCAAAATGAGAAACAAAGAGAAAGAAAACAGAACCAAAGATATTTTTTTATACAAAACCAAAAATCCGCAACAAAAACTGCGCACTTAAAACTTTTAAACCAATTAATGATAATCAAGTAATGAGAAAAAAAATGAATTAAAATAAAAAGAAAAATAATGTTTAAACAAACGAGGTAAGAATCAATATTACGTTTCTTTTAAATTAAGAAAAGAAATTAATTACTTGATTGATTGAGTCTTAAAAGATAAAATATAAAAAAAATGAGAATAATAATCATAAATGTCGAGGCAAAAATATCAAAATGAGATAGTAAGTTGAGCCAAAAAAAAAAAAATTGTATACACGGCAAGGGAATCAACGTTTTTTCAATTCAATCGCACACGTGGACGTTGTTTTGTCATGTGATTTTCGATACAATTTGCTTTTTCCACATTGTCCTGCCAATTTTTATTGAGTAACAAAACAAAAATAGATGAAAAAAAAACAATCAAATGAACTTAACTCTAGTCTAGGCCACGTAAAAAGCAACCGTTTTTTTTCTATTGGAATTTTTACAGATTCTTTTTACCAAATGATGAATTGAATTGTAGTGTTTGCTTTTTAAATGGACTTTTCTTTTTAAATTAAAAAAACACTCTTCCCAGTAATTCGATGGTTATCGGTCAATGCAAACGTATTAATCTACTCCCTTTTTTCTGCAATCTTCTTTTCTGTCAATTCATTCAGGTTCAAATTGAAATACCATCCCGAGGACTCGTTGCGGCGAAAACAAGAGCAACTCGACTTCTTGAAGGTAAAACACGATGCGATTAGTTTTTTGTGATTCAAATGATTTTGTCTTTGGTTTAAGAATGTTTGAAAAAGTTTAGATGATTTTGTCCTTTGTTTATGGAATTGAAAAAAAAGTGTTCTAAACGGGCTCAAAAAATGTGCCCGAGCTCGGTCGATTATAATATGAACTTAAAAATTTAAATATTTTTGACTCAAATTTTGAATTGATTCATTTTTTTCGATTTTTACCCTCGTCTTTTAACCGCATATTTTTCCAAGCTATTCGAATTAGCTGTTCAATCAAACCAAAATTTCAATCAATTTTTTTTTAAGTTTCTCGAATCTTGCAACTTGCATTCAATCCTTTCCTCTTTTACAGAGACGAACGGATGTGTTTTCGGATGTGCTGAGCACGGGACAGGTGACGAGTGTAAACGTTGACACGAATCAATCGGATAAATTGTTGCGACTGCTCGATACCGTTGTTATCAAATTGGAAGGTGGTACCGATGAAGATTTAAAGGTCTTAGATGAAAAACCAAATGTCGAGTATAACAAACCAGAACCACCGAAAGAACCATCGGTAATAACGGCTACAGCCAAAACGGTGTCCGCACAATCCACCGTTGAAGCAAAAGCCGATGACGGTGAGTTGAACGAAAACGATGAGGATAGCGCCGAGATGAAGGAAGTCGAAGCAAATGCCACTGAAGACACTAATGCAACTGACAAAACCGCCAATGCTGACGAAAAACCAAGCAAAAAACGAAAACGTACCACATCCGGATCCAGCTCTAGCTCATCCAGTTCGACTAGCTCCAGCGGTAAGTTGGAAAGACTTTCATTTTCTTGCCTTTTCTTTTCTTTTTCTTTTGATTTTCTATAAGCTATTATTTTGAAAATTAAAAAAAAATAACCAAAAATGAAAGAAAAATTGAAAAAATCAGTTGAAAAATGGTAATAAATGCTCTTTTTTCCGCAAAAGAAGACGAAGATGAGGAAGAGCAAGAAAAACCAACTGAAACTGGCGAGGAAAGTGAAGCGTTACCAGAAACCAAGCAGTCAGAAGCGGTGAATGACGATGATGAGCCGATGGTCGAAGTGAAAACCGCAGAAAATCTGGAAAATGGCTCGCCAAACGATGAAACGGCATCACAAAAAGGGAATAAAGAAGCGGACAACAGCAAGGAGTTGGCCGAAGGCGAACTGGCCGACTTGTCCGGTGACGAATCAAAAGCAACCGATGCACCAGAAACTATTGACTTGGGTAAGTTTTTAAACGCGAAAATGTCAAATTTTGAAATTCCAAATGATTTATTTAGGATTTTTACGAAAATTCAATGTTTTTTTGGAATTTTTAAAAAATGTTGATGATAATTTCAAGTTTTTTTTTCTATTGAATATCTTTCAAACTTATTTAGCAATGCAAAATCATAAAAATCTAATAATATCCCTTTCCATTTACGTTAGCCGATTCAAAGAGTGAGACAGACGAAAAGCCTGGCGCGCGTGCATTGCATAAGACGAGTTCGATATTTTTGCGAAATTTGGCGCCAACGATAACGAAGAGTGAGGTGGAGGCGATGTGCAAACGATACAATGGTTTCTTGCGTGTTGCAATCGCTGATCCGTTGGTGGAACGACGATGGTTCCGTCGTGGTTGGGTGACATTCAAGCGTGACACAAACATCAAGGAAATCTGTTGGAATCTGAATAACATTCGATTGCGTGACTGTGAACTGGGTGCCATCGTAAATCGTGACCTAAGCCGTCGTGTACGTCCCGTAAACGGAATAACAGCACACAAAACCATTGTGCGTAGCGATATCAAGTTGTGTGCCAAGATTGCGCATAATTTGGATCAAAAAGCCAACCTTTGGACCGATGAAACCAATGAAAATTCGTCCAATGGCAATCAAACGTCGTTCGGTTTGAATTCGAACAATCCCGTGCTGCAAAACATTACCGACTACTTGATCGAAGAAGCATCGGCCGAAGAGGAGGAATTGTTGGGTTTGTTATCAAGCGAAAATAAAGACAGCGAAGGTGAAAGCCTAGAACGTGAACCACAATTGATTAACGTATTGGATAAATTGATTTTGTATCTGCGTATCGTGCATTCGGTTGATTTTTACAATCATTGCGAATATCCGTACGAAGATGAGATGCCAAATCGTTGTGGTATCATCCATGCACGTGGACCACCGCCACAGAACAAAGTCACACAAAATGAAATCCAAGAATACATTCGTAATTTCGAGGGGAAAATGTCATCGTTTTTAACGAAAAGTGTACCATTGGCCGATACCGAATTGAAGAAGCTCGGCGCCAAGGATACCGATGCCGAAGTTGAGAAATTCGTCCAGGCAAACACACAAGAATTGGCCAAAGATAAATGGCTTTGCCCATTGTCGGGCAAAAAATTCAAAGGGCCCGAATTCATTCGCAAGCACATCTTCAATAAACACGGCGAAAAAGTGGACGAAGTGAAAAAAGAGGTGGAATACTTCAATAACTATTTGAAAGACGCGAAACGGCCACAATTACCCGAACATCCATCGGGTAACACAAAGAAACCACCCGTCGAAGCACAGCCACCGCCACAAAGGTATGGGTAAATACCATTTTTTTTTCTCACCTAATACCTTTTTTTTTTAGTTGAATCAAGGTTTTGGACGTTTTTGTGGCATGTGTTTGAGGTTCACCGAGAAGTTTTTTGGTGAATATTGAAGACACATAGAAGGAACAATAGAAAATAGTGCAATTTTGAACCAATTTGGTAAAAATTCACAAAAATTTCTGCAGAAATGTCCAAAAATTTTAATTCAATGCAAAATTCGATTCAAATTTGATTGAAATTTGATTTAAATTATTCGAATGAAATTGTTTTTAAATTGAATTTCGCTTAAATCATCAAAACTTCATCAAAAATCGAAAAAAAATTATAGTCAACTGTCTCCCATTTGCAGTATGCGACCAACGGGTTATCCGGGACCTGGATACGGGCCACCATATGGTGGGTATGGCGGACATATGCCAGCCCCGATGCGATCCAGAGGTGGTTTCGGCGGAAGAAGGTAAGCACAAATGCCATTAAATGAGTAGTTTGGAGCGAAAATGTAATACAGAAAAGTTGAGCGGAAAAATGTCAAATGAAACGGAATAGCTATATAGTTTACTATACAGTTTACTATATAGCTATCCCTTTTCCGTTCATTCATCATCGACATTTTTCCGCTCAACTTTTCTGTATTACATTTTCGCTCCAAACTACTCAAATGTGATCATGGCATGGCATGGCATGGCATGGCATGGCACTGGCAACAATTTCTTATTTCATTCGCCTTCTGAACGAAAAATTGGACTAACTAGGGAGTAATGAGCGGAAATGGGAAATTATTTGAATGTTGACAATGAGAAAGCACCTTTTTTCAATTTCTCTTTTGTTTGTGATTATTTTGATTTTTTTTTTGTTTCATTGCTTCTTGTTGTTGTGGATTTTTTTGCAGAGAGTTGCCCATGGAACATCAAAGACGTATTATTGGTTACCAAGACTTGGACGCTCCACTTAACGATTTTGACACATCAATCTTTTAAATCAATTTTTTTTAAACAATTTTATTCTACCGCAACAATTGGAATCGGAACAAAATTCCATCGACCCATGTCCGATTCAGCCTTATGAAAAAATGGAACAATAAAAGAAAAAAAATTACTTCACAAAAAGAACTCAAAATTCATGGCGATAATATGAATTTCATAGAGAATACTAACATCAGTATGAAATTTTACCAAGAAAACACCAATTTTTCAGTTGACTTTTAACTTTTTTTAATTAATGAAAAAAACCGAAGCTAATAAATAAATTGATTCTGTGGCAAACAACTATACAGAATTTGTTTACTGTATTTTTCACGCAGAATACCATTTTTTTTCTAAATTGAATTGTTCTTACACATTGATGAGGTCAAGCAAAATCGTTCGCAACGTCAGAAAAAAAAAATAAATGAATGAAAAAGTGCGGCTTTTTCAAATGGAGTTTATTTTAGTCTTTTTTTTTTTGTCAATGTTTATTGGTTTGCACTGATTTGGTGCAAATGAATCTGCTATAAATCAGATGATTGTCCCTCCATTTAGGAGCATTGAATGGGTTTTTCTGCTTTTGCTTTACTGAACACATCTCATTTCAGCCCAGTTCAGCTCAACTCAGCTCAATTGAACCCAGCTTAGTCCATAATTTATGAGTCAAAACACGATTAATAGCAGCCAATCGTCGAGCTAATTCATTTCGTTTACGATCTGGAATTGTGATTATCCAGTTGACAACATCGTTGTCATCCTTTTGACATTTTTAAAACCATTTCATCGACTTCGAATCAGTCCATTTTTCTCGACTCTCCTCTTTCTTGCTCCGCAAAGCTCTTGTTGTTTCACATATGATTTATTTTTCTCTTCTTTTGCAGAGGTGGCAATCACGGTGGCGGCGGTGATTATCGTCCAATCATCCACTATCGCGATCTGGATGCACCACGTGAACCAGACGATTTCCTGTAAACTTCATCATCGCGGCCGAAACAGTCACCACACCAACGGCGCATCATTCCTAACGCGTATGCAGCACACTCAACAAACATTAGAAAAAGGAATCAAAACATTCTTTTACGTCTCCTTTATTTAAATCGATTTTTTTTTTCATTTTACAACTCCAAATGACACACACATTTCGTTTCAATTAATGCGATTTTTTTATATATCATAAAATACAATTATGTGCTTAGATAAAAAAAAGAAGAAAAAAAAAACGATAGAATTTTGGAAAAAAGTGTGACAAAAAACGAAACATTATATGACCAAATCGTTTGTTCAAACATAACTAACTACTACGACAATTGTTTTTCGATTGAAAAATCCAAATTGGAACAGTTCAGTAGCAGAGCAAAGTCTCAAAACAAACAACATTTTATGATGTAATACTGTAAAATTGTAACAAGCATACCCAGCACATGGTGTTGCTTTCTATCCATACACAAATTTAGCCATCACGATCATTTCCATTTGGGACATGGCACATTTACGGTCAGTAGACAGGTATCAAAAATCAAAAACAGTGCAAATAAAGAAAAGAAATTTAAAATTGAAAAAATTACCGCGTTTTCTTTCTTCTTTCGAAGTTTTTTCAGATTCGGATTTTCTAAAATTTATCTTTCGACAACACTGCTGGGTTTCCGCCACTAAAGAAGGATTCTCTATTCTTATTCACATTCTTTTTTATTATTATTATTATTATTCTGCACCATACAGCGTTTCTTCGCCAGAGGTGGTTTATTTGATATGAATATTCTTTTATATATAACAAACATGTGTTTTGTGTTCAGTTGATGTGGCTGCACGCAGCAACAACATACACATTCCTGTATTATACAGTATGCGTCGTCGATATGCTCGGATATATCCGTGCCTTACGAAATGCTGAGATGCTCAGCAATCTTAAAACACATGTTTGTTATATATTTACATTATACAGTACGCCCTCGTAAATTAGAATCGAAATGTCCCGAGGGCAATTCTAATTCACGAGGAATTCTAATTTCGGAGGTTTTTTCATTTTCATCAAAAATCCAATAGCAAAACCAAAATTGATAAGGGAAATTGATTGTTTAATCAAAAACATCATAATTCTAATCATATTCGTGCGATACATGCTTATTACAAGTATTTTAATGATGATAAATAGTTTGTTTACAAACGTAGAAGAAAAAAAATGAGTCAAAACAAAACTTATTACTTATGACTGTTTGTGTTTATATAAGGAATATTAATTTTTGATTTTATTTGAAATAATCCGTTAGTTGCTTTTGCTTTGTTGCTTTCGTTGTGTGTGCTGTTACAATATCGGAACGAAGGGATAACAGACTGAATGTATGTTTGATACCAACACTTTCGTTTTGGGCACACCATTCGATTAATTTGTTGACATGATCGATCGCGTCAGAATGTGGAATTTTCACTACAGCCGCTGCTTCTCCTTCTGAGTCAGAACTGTCTCTAATTGGTGTACACAAATCACAAATCTTATGGCGAATCAAATATTAGACCACTTGTTTTTATCAATTCTGCTTGACCGCTAATAGAATGCAAACTGTATTTTTATCAAGAATTGTCATTATTCTTTATATTTTTATACGATATTCGGTTTATGTTCCATGTAAATTCAAGCAAAAATGAGAAACCTCGCAAATTAGAATTGAACCTCTTAAATTAGAATTTTTCCATACAAATGTTCTAACCCGAAATTCACTTCTAATTTCGGAGGAATTCTAATTCTCCGAGTTCTAATTTACGAGGGCGTACTGTATTACATTAATTGAATTGCTACACAGAGAAAAATAAAATCATTTTCGCGCAGCAAAATATTGTAATGTGACGAATTCCAACACATGTTGCGATTTTCACAAGAAATGTTTTGTTCCATATTCACTCAGTGAATGAGGAAATTTAACTCAAGTATTTGTCAATTGAGTGACCGTTTGCATACGTTGTCCAATTTGACAAGTATTTTCACTCAGTTTTGAGATTTTCATTTGTGTATATTTGCATGAAATTCATTACTCTCTATATAATCTATTTCTTTTAAAATATTCATTAATTCTCTGTTTAACAGTATTTGTACTCGTGTTAAAATCAATTAAAAAAGTATCACAGACTGGAGTAGGAACATTATGATAATTCTTATTTTCTTTATGAGTTAAAGGTGGCTTAATTGGCACCAACTTGTTATAAAAATCATTCTAAGCATTGTTTACCCATTTTACCGCGCCACAATTGAATGCATTTTTACAAAATATTTTTTTATAAGCATTTTCCGATTTTCGTCAAACATTTTCCCATTTTGGTCAAGCAAAATCAATTTAACCTTTAAAAAGTAACTAAAATAAAATGGATGAATTCTTAGCTCCATGACGCCAGCCCCGCCCGGAATATTTCTTCAAGAAATTATAAATCTGAACCCGCCATCGTGTTCTGCGCAATTTGTGCTAATTATTGCTCGCTCCCCAGAATTTGTGCTGCAACTGGAGATGAGCACAAATTCGACAAAAATTTAGAAAAAAAAATGTATGAAAATCGATATCACAGTGCAACATAGTTTAGGCAGGTCCATGTCATCTGCACCGCCCGAAAATGGTGCTGGTAAACCATAATATGTTATAAATAATGTTCGAATAGTGCTGGCAAATGCCACTTCCAGATTGCACAAACCTTGTCTGGTGGCTGAGTACTAATCGTCAACATTTTTGGAAAAGTAGATTTTTGGTATACATTCCCATGGCAAGTACATGAAATCGATTTTTTTTCTCGTATGAATGTAGCTCTATGACTCCTGTTCGGAAAAGTGAATCATTGTATTACAATTGAGTCATGAAGTAAGTCACGACATTTGGTCCTAAAAATGTACATATATGGACTGGTAAATTGTTCGAGAGCACATATGACTCTTATTTGATAACAAACATCAGATTCTCAGTAATGTAGTCATAAATCAGTAATTTAATTTGAATGGAAATAAGTTTTTCGGATACAAAACTTTTGGCATTTCCAGATTTTGATTATCTCAATTATTTTTTGAGTTATCGTGTTAACAAACACCAACGACGACAACGACGACGACAACGACGGCACATGAACGGAAAAGTATCTCAAAAAATAGTTTTCTACGCGTTTCAAGAGTTTTTATGATGATCTAAACCAATTTTGCGAAAAAAAAGTTTTCGGGACCAATTCCTTTACTTTCCCTTGACACGGTGTGTACGGAAAAGTAAAAAAAGATTCTGAAAGTTTCATGTTGATCGCATTTGCAGAAGTTTTGTTTTTGACCTTAAATTTTTGCTGAAATTTTCTTGGAAAAAATTGAGGGTGAAAAACCAAATTTGTGCATATGCGATCAGCATGAAACTTTTAGAATCTCATTTTTTCGCCAAAAAATGAAACTTCAGAAAGTTTTGAGCTAATCGGAATCGATTTACGGGTACCTTCCATACACAATTGTCGAAGTTTTAACTGAAGTGACCGATTTTTCACTAGAAAACTGCCTTTATTCAAGAAAATTGACAGAAAAATAACCAAAAGTGCGGACAACGGTACGGAAATGTTCGGGATTACGAATTGTAGTGGGTTTGTTAGGTGAGAGTGAGTAATAATGCTTGTTTCAGTTTCAGCATCAACTTTATTCTAATTCTGTACGATATTGGCACTCACACACAGAGCAAGCAGCTGTGTGTGAGTATGCAGCCAATATCGAGAGCCACCACGATACCGTAGCACACCAACACAGAGATCGAGCAGACACAATAAAAGAGAGAACGAGCAGTAGACTTGAGTAAGCAGAAGAGGCAAGAAGGCCAACGCGGCACTAAAAAGAAGAGAAAAAAGCCAACGCGGCAAATAGATAGTAAGAAGAATTGTTTAGCTGGTAAGAAAAGAAAATAAAATACATATTATTATTATCCGCACAACCCTGGACTTTCACTTGCATAGTTTAAACAAATTCTTCTTCACATTTCATAATTGTCATTAGCGGGTGTCGCATGCGTATCGTGAGATGCGCATTGGAGAAACAACGAGTAGACGGGTCGCACAATTATAATTATAATGATGATCCGTCTACAAAATGAAATTCTTTTTATTTCTATTCAAATTAAATTACTGATTTATGACTACATTACTGAGAATCTGATGTTTGTTATCACATAAGAGTCATCTGTGCTCTTGAACAATTTACCAGTCCATATATGTACATTTTTAGGACCAAATGTCGTGACTTACTTCATGACTCAATTTTAATACAGTGATTCACTTTTCCGAACAGGAGTCATAGAGCTACATTCATACGAAAAAAAATCTATTTCATGTACTTGCCATGGGAATGTATACCAAAAATCTACTGACGCACCAAGGAGCTGGTAAATTTTTTTGATTTATCAAGTAAAAATTTCGCTTGGAATTGATAAACGAAAGCCTGGCTTACTAATAATACAATTAAAATGTACAAAAGGGAACAATAAATGAGATTTCTGCTTAGTTTCGATTTCATATTTGGTCCGAAGACGTTGAATTTTGTGTACTGTTACTGTTTGACAAAATGAGATTTGTTATAGTTTGCATGGCGATTTTGATTTTGGCCAAAGTTGTGCATACTCGAGATGATTGTATTTTTCTTCCTGGTAAACTGTTAAATAAAGATAACCCTGAATCACGAATTTTTTTTTGCGATGCACTACGTTATGAATATTATGCTGAGTGTAATTATTCTTCTGTGGAAGTGCTAAAAATTCAGAATTGCTCTGTCGAATCGATCGAGTCCAAATTTATTGGGTATCGAAATGTGCGCACGTTGGACTTTTCGTTTGGAAAATATAAGACATTGGGCAATTTACATTTACCATTCGACCGTTTGAAGCTGTTTAATGTGTCTTACAACCAATTAACGGAAGTGCACAAGGATCTATTTTTCAATACAAAACAATTAACGGAAATGGACTTTTCACACAATCAAATCAAAGAAATAGATTCGGTTTTGTTTAGTGGGCTTTTCGATTTAGAAGAGCTCGATCTAAGTGATAATAAAATTAGATGGATTCATGAGGACGCTTTTCCAAAGGATTCCAAATTCAAAACACTGAACCTTAAAAATAATCCAATATGGCGGTTAGATTGTGGCATTACATACTTACTGAATAGCATGACTTCAATAAAAGTGTCATTCGAAAATGTTATTGAGTTCGATTTATCTTGCACGAACCCTATGGAATGGACAATGAATGAAGAAGAAATAATTTTTAAAAATGCAAACAGCAAAAATGAGCTCCGATATCCCAAGACGAACTTCAAAAATTTACACGAACTCTCTATCCGCGGAAATCGATTGCAGACCGCGCTAGGCATAGTGAACATGTTGGGAGAATCGATTCGGTGCCTGGATTTAAGTGGAAACATGTTAGGAAAGATAAATGAGACAACGTTTCATAGTTTGAACAATTTGAAATGGTTATATCTAAGTGAAACCAATCTCTCATTCGCTGCTGAATCTAATCCCTTCGAGCATCTTAACAATCTGAAGACACTCCATATTTCCTACAACAATTTAACATCACTGAATATCAGTTTACTTTCAAAAACTTTGAGTAATTTGGAAGAGTTCCGAGCGGCTGGAAATCACATTGATAACGTTCTAGGAATCATACACAGTCTCGGATCAAATCTATGGGCATTGGACTTTTCTCAGAGTATCATCGGAACATTGAATCTCAGTACATTCGAACGTTTTGAGCATTTGTATTGGTTGAATTTGTCAGACACACATTTGGAACATTTCAATGTGAATCCACTCAGAGTGTCCCGTTTAGACATTTCACGAAACAATTTGAAGCGATTGAATGTGGACTTACTATCGCATACTTTGAGAAGTTTAGAATACTTTTACGCAGCCGATAATTATTTCGAAAATACGGCTGAAATCATACAACATTTGGAATCAAATCTATACGAACTGGATATTTCTGGAAATTATATGGGAAAATTGAACGAAACTACATTTGAACGAACTCAAAATGTTGAGCGGCTGTCGCTTAGACGCACCAATTTATCGATTTCTGATGTTAAACCTTTTGAAACTATGCAGTTTTGGTTGGACCTAGATATTTCGAAAAACAACTTGAAAAAATTAAATTTCTCTACTTCGATTGTTTTTCGGACCTTGGAAGAAATGAACTTGAGTGAAAACTATCTAACCCAACTGGACGGTCTCAATAAGCACTCTTTTCCAAAACTCACCAAACTGGATATTACAAATAATAACTTGAATTGCACCCATCTATTCATGTTCAGAAGAGAATGGGACAGACTAGAGATAATCGGAGATCCGTGCACTGAAATTGAAAACAATGAAACTCGAAGCCAAACTGACACAGAGAGCGAAAGAGACTATTTTATTCATGGATCATGGTACGAAAGAAACTATTTTATTTATGGATCATTGGCATTGGTAATTTGTTCGATTTCATGCGCTTTGGCTGTCTATTGTTTCCGAAAACATCGTAAAAGAGCTGGCTTGACCAATTTCGAAACTGGTGATGTCGATGGTCTTAACCCCCAATGCCCATTGGATGTACAGGCTGATCTGCTTCCGTACGATAGGAAATATGAATTTCCACACAACAAGCTTAAGCTTGGAGAACAACTTGGCGCCGGAGCTTTTGGAATTGTGTACGAAGCGATGGCA